CTAGCTCCCTGGAGAACCCCTCTTCATCCATCAAAGCCCCAACTCCAATGTCCTCCCCTCTTGGAAGCTGTCCCAGGACCCACCAGTCCCCATCCTTCCCTCTGACTCCACCCTGACTCCATGGGGCTGGAGGTGTCTGTGGATTCCACCACAATTTCTTGGGACTCTGTTCTCCTGTCCTTGTCATGGTGGCAAGATGGCCCATCATCACGTCCAGGCCTATCACTGCCTGCAGGGAGTTCCCCAAATCCCAGAATGATTGGCTCAGCCAAAGTCACGTGCCCATCCCTGAACCAATTCCTGTGTCTGTGGTGACAAAGGCTCTAATTGATCAGATTTGGTCACATGTCCACACCTGAAGCTCGGAAGTGCACGTGGCTCCTTTTGCTCACTGAAGGCAGGCAGGGAGAGTAGCTGCCCCCACACCTGGAGGTTCCTACCTGCCCCATCCCAGCTGGGATGGCTTTGGACAAGTCACCTGTGCTCTGCGCCTCCATTTTCTCACCTGTGAGTCAGGCTCAGCTGGGTTGAGGTGCTGAGACACAAAGGTGTCCTCCCCTCCCCCCTGCTATGGGGGGAAGGCCCTGTTTATCCTGTGGCCCCCCTCCTTCATTGTTGTTCACTGTGAATCCCCCAGACAGCTGCCCAGTGTGGCAGGCACCGATGGCCACCTGCTGAGTCACCCATTAGTCCTGGGCCACTTGCCCAGCCCGATGCTTCCCGGGGACTTTCCTGGCCTTACTTGAACATCAAAAGTAAGGTGGGGAGCCCTGGCCAGTTTGGTTCAGCAGTTAGAGCAGCCCATGGACCAAGGAGTCACGGGTTCCATTCCAGTCAAGGGCATGTACCTCAGTTGTAGTTAGGTCCCCAGCCCAGATTGGGATCATGTGGGAGGCAACCAGTCAATGTGTCTCTCTCATGTTGATGTTTCTCTCTCTCCCTCTGCCCCTCCCACTCTATCTGAAGATAAATGGAAAAATATCCTCAGGTGAGGATTAAAAATAATAATAATAGTAAGGTGGGGAAGACTCCAGGGCAGGAAAAGTGAGGGCCGAGGCCATGTGGACAAGTCTGTGTACACCCTGGCATAGGTTCAATCCCATGTCCTGGATCCACCTGTAACATGAAGGCCTCAACCACTTCTACTGGAGTGGGTGGACTCTGCACATGAACACCCCTCAAACCCTCAACCAGGGCTGTGGGTGCCCAGCACTGAGGTGAGCATGGTCATCGCTATTGTACCTGTTTGGACAGCTGTTAGCATTCTTGATGCACACGTGCCTGAGTTAACTGGCCCAATTCTGTGTCTCTACATTTGTATACGCATGTGTGTGTTTGTGTGTGTGTGTGTGTGCGCGCGCGCGCTTTAGGGCTGTCCTGTGTTTACAGCCCTATGGGCCTACGAGACAGAGAGACCCAGCCCCGTGCTGGGAAAGGTGCATCTGGTTGAGGACTCCTTGGGCAAAGGCTGGAGGGCTGGGAGATTGTGGGTTCAGGGAACAGTACAGGGGTAAAGGGAACAGCAGGGGGCGGCAGGGAGCAGCAGCAGCAGCAAGGTCAGGCAGGCTGAGGAGGATGGGGAGCTGAGTGAATGAGCCTGGGCAGCTTTGGCAGAGCTAAACTTTTGGAGGAAATGACATCAATTCTGAACTATTCACCGAGCAACTACTCTGGGCCCGGAGTTGGGGATGCAACAGGGCTCTGGAGTAACAGAAACCACAACAACAAACAAGTAATATATAACTCTGGGTGTGGGGAAAGATCAGGAAGCAAATGTATCAGGCAAGGGTGGGGGACCACAGAGGTGCTCTGGCCTAGAGAACAGAAGAATGTCCTTAGGAGGCGATGTGTGATCTGAGGCCTGCAGGAGAGAAGGCCACGAGGAGATATGGGGAGAGGGAGCTCTGGGCGAAAGGCACAGCAGGTGCAAAGCTCTAGGTGGGGATGAGCTGGCAGAGGGGCCCCATTCAGGAAGATCTAAGCCCCAAGCAGGAAGGGGAGGCATCAGGAGGCAGCCTTGGTGGGGAGCAGGGCCGCTAGGACTAGTTGTTCTGTAACTGGAGCCCAGCAGGAACTTGTGCCCCATCCTGTCCACCCTCAGCACAGCCTGCTCAGGACAGAATGTGCCGGGAGGAGAGGCCAGTGGTGGCTTGTGCCTGGTGGCTGGAGCAGGGTGGCAGAAAGATTCCTGAACAGCAGCCCCGCTGGGCTCCCTGCCAGCAAGGGCAGGAAAACAAGCAGTGGAAGCTCTGCCTGCCTGTCACCCGTGTCCTGGGCCTGGCCCAGCCACAGCAGTGACAGAGATGGTGAAAGGGTCAGAGACAGACAGAGACAGAAAGATGGCGACCTAGAGAGAGATGGTGAGTCAGAGACAGACAGAGAGGTAGTGAGTGAGAGAGACAGAGATGCAGACATGGTGAAAGATAGAGACAGGGGCACAAAGACAATAAGAGACAGGAAGATAGTTAAAGAGTTAGAGACTGGCCCTGGCCGGTTTTGCTCAGTGGTTAGAGCATAGGTTCATGGACCAGAGAGACCTAGGTTCGGTTCCCGCTAAGGGCATGTACCTTGGTTGCAGTCAACCAGGTTAGGGTTGTGTGGGTGGCAGCCACTCGATGTGTCTCTCTCACATCAATGTTTCTCTCTCTCTCTTCCTCCCTCTCTCCCTCCCGCTCTATCTGAAGATAAACGCAAAAAAAAAAAAAAAAAGTCCAAGACTGAGAGAGATGATAACCAAGAGAGGCAGTGAGCAAGAGACAGAGACAGAGATAGTGAGTGAGAAAGACTGAGACAACAGTGAGAGACAAAGACAGACTCTGAATGGGTGCCAGGGATGGAAAAGGAGCTGGAAGGAGAGATAGGTGGGAGGTCTTAGGAGCCTGGGGAGGGGTGGGATTTTATTTTAGGAGAGTATTTGGCCACTCTCCTCTATGTCCTATGGGCCCCTCCCTGTGGTCAGGGAGTTCCCTGGATTCTGGACTGCCTGAGTCAGCTGCATTCTGGTTGTCATTTATCTTAACCAGAAAATCCATCCCCTTTAGAGATCAGGTTCCCCACAGTTGCAGACTCAGGAGTCCTGGGGACAGGAGGTGGCTTGTCTTCCCAAGCTTGCTGGGACAACCTTTTATAGAACTGTACCCACATTTGCTGTTGCAATAAACACCTTGGACTCGTCTCAGTTTGGGAAACTGGGATCTTGGGTCTTGCACACCCTGGGCAATGGGGAACTCATCCCCTCGAGGCTGCCAATTTGGAGTCTGAGTGACTATGCTGTGGAAAGCTCTCCCCTGGTCCTAGTCTCAGGGACCGTCAAGTCTGGTATGCTCAGAGCTGGGTGCCAGGTCAGCTGCCCAGAGCAGATGCTGATGGACAGGGAGTGCTGGGTGGACCCCAGGAGCAGGAGCAGCTGGAAACCAGGCCCAAACTCAGATCAGGAAAAGGGGTGTTGGAGGCTGTGGAAGGGAGGTGTCCCAGAGGCTCAGATGGAGAAACTAAGGCTCAGAAGCAAGTGCCCTGCCCATGGTCACACAGAGAACATAAGTTCAACCCAGGTCTTCCAATGTCAAGTCCCTAGATTTTAACCCCCCCACCCCTCCATGTCCTCATCCCTGCCCCTCAGCACCATCAATGACCACCCTGAGCTGCCAGTTAGTTTTCACCGCCTTCTGCCTGCTGGTGGTTACAGCCTAGGAGTCAGACCAGGGTTTTCAATGGGCCTTGCCCGGAGGGGCAGGGCCTCGGAGTCTGAGGCAGAGCCTGAGCGCAGTCTCTCTAGAGCCCCAAGTGGGATGTCACATGGCCTATGGGGCGTGGCCTCCTAAGTCCAGGGGCCATTTTGAATGGTAGCTCCATCAGTCCCTACTGTGGGATCCTGGGTGAGTCCCCTCACTCTATTGGACTCATTTTCCATACCTGCAACACCAGGAAAGTGACAACCTCCCACCACTCCAGCTGCCTTAACACCAAATCCTATACACATTGGTCCACACAAGCTCTAGTCAGTCATAAGTGCCAAAATGTGGAAACTACTCAAATGTCCAACCACTCAAATAGTTTTGCTCAATGGTTAGAGAGTCATCCTGTGGCCCGAAGGGTCTCGGGTTTGATTCTGGTCAAGAGCATGAACTGGGGTTGTAGGCTCAATCCCCGGCCCCAGGGTCGTGCAGGAAGCAATCAATTGATGAGTCTCTCTCACATCAATGTTTCTCTCTCTCTCTCTCCCCCTCTCCCTACTCTAAAAATCAATGGATAAATATCCTCGGGTGAGGGTTAACAAAAAAAAAGGAGTGAAGTGTTGACACATGTTATAATGTGGATGAACCTTGAAAACATGCTGAGAAGTCAGACACAAAAGGTCACATAGTGTGTGATCCCATCTATATGAAATATTCAGAACAGGCAAATCCATTGAGACAGGAAGCAGATTCGCGGTTGCCAGGAGCTGGGGAGTGACTGCTAATGGGGATGGGGTCTCCTTTGGGGTTGATGAGATGTTCTGAAACCAGATAATATTCTGAAACTAGACAGAGGTGATGGTTGCACAATAGTGTGAATGTGCTGAACACTACAGAATTGTTTACTTTAAAATGGTTCACTTTATGGTATATGAATTGTACCTCAATAAAAACAAAAAGAGCCCAGACTCAGATCGTCAGAATCCTCCTGCAACCCAGAACCCTGTCCAGCCCAGCCTCTCCCTCTCCAGTTGCTGAGGACCGAGGAGACCTCTGCCCCTCCTTCACCATTCACGTTCCCAGACCTGATTGCTCTAGGGGAGTAGTATGGGGCGTGGGGGTCTCGTTCCAACCTGAGATCAGCCTCCCTATGTGTCCCTGTGCCTCATTTTCCCTTCTGGACAATGGGCCCATCAACCCTCTTTCGCCTGGAATTCAATCCAAGATCCTGACCCAGGATGGTGGTCAAGGCCACTGTGGCTTCCTCGGCAGCTGGAGGAAGATAAACCAATAAGCCTAGTCTCTTCCTCCACACTTTTATTTTTTTAAAAATAATTGTACAAAAGAGAAAGATTTAAGGCTTAGAAATGCTGAGACCCAGGCTGGGAATCTGCCCCAGCCAGGGCCAGGACTCTGCAGTTGGGGGCTTGTCTAGCCTTCTGATTTGTCACTCTGGGACACAAGGGTCTCCAGAAGCTCACTGGCCCTGCTGTGTCACCCGAGGCTGACCTCTGTCCCAAGGTCTGGTTGAATGTTCTACTGTCATTACCTTGAAATTCTTAATACTCCTTGAACCAGCACCCCACATTTTCACTTGCAAGTTGTGTTGCAGGTCTTGTCTGTCCCGCTCTGAACCAGGATTTCTGGGCCATACTGTGTCTATACTGCCTGGAAAAGCCAAAGACAGTCCTGCCTGGGGTAGAAATCTCCAGCTTTCAGAGGTTTCGGATGCTGGAGCTGCTGCCCCTGCCACCCGCAGGTCCCACAGAGCTCCCATAACCTGCCTCCCTGAATGCCTGGTCGGTCCCTGGGCCCTCTCGCCTGCTGGGTCCTGCAGTGTGACCTAAACTGAGGCTCTTGCCCTCTGAACCCCAGTTCCAAGATGAAGGGGACAGTCTCCAAACATCACTCAGCTCTGACCTTGTCCCACTTCTCCTTCTTGTTTGCCTGTCTTCTGAGCTCTTATTCATATGCCAAAGCTTCGGGTAAAGTGCCCTTTCCTCCAGGAAGTTTTCTCTGCTTTCTCCCTGGACTCTTCCAGGCCTTCCTCTGGTCCCACAAAACAGGAAGTATTTATGTCTGGCTGTGTCTCTCCCAGCTCGGAAGCTCCTGGGGGAACCCCAGCCCTGCCGCTGGCCAGCACAGGCAGCTTCAACAGCCGCTCAGATCCTGCACCAGGCATTTGATGCCTTACAAGGACCAGATAAGTCAGGTGCCAGACTGGCTCTTCCGCTGTCCTGTGTGAACTGCCCTGCCCCATTCCAAGATTTGATTTCTCCAATTCAATGCGGTCAGGCTGGTCTGCCCTTGATCCAGCCACTCCCCCTGGCCATGGTGGCTGGAAGCACGTGTGCAACCTCATCCCTGGAGGTTTCCACTTCCGCTCAGCAGGTCATGCAGCGTGGCCTCATGGCTTCGGAGGGTGGGTTTGGATCCTCCTGAGGAAAACAAACCCATCAGGGCTCGGGGGCACTGGAGACTCAGAAACACCTCTTTTGGTCCTGATAGTCTCCAACCCCTAGAGCAGACTGGGGCTCCATGCTGGTTCAGGCCCTGAGTATATAGGAGTGTCATCAACATATTTTCCCCCACTGCTTCTGACATTCTTTTTAAATTAATTAATTTATTTTTGTTACAGATGTTTCTCCTTTTCCCCGCAGACAGCCTCCTCCCTATCCCTCCTATCCAACCCCCCACCCTGTTTCATCAACATTTAAAACTCCTGTGTCCCCCCCGCCCCCATCTCAGCTCCCAAGGCCTGGAAAGGCATAGGAGCTTCTGGGATCCCCAAGCTCACCTCAGAGTACAGGGGTGGAGGGCGGTAGCGGAACTCTTGGATATAGGCGAAGAAGGGGCCTCCAAGGCTCACGCTGGAGTCCTCCTGCGGTAGTGGGAAGGGGCTCTGCTCCACGGCTGCCACGTCATCTGCCACCACCTCTGAATACTCTGGAGGGGCTGGAAGTGAGAGCCGAGGGGGTGACGGTGGTGAGTGGGAAGGGAGCCCTGGAATTGGGGACAATGACTAGGAGCCTACTTGTGCCTGTTCTGGGCTGTGAGGCTATGTGTCCTCAGGCTGAGATTCTTGGGGGACCCATGGTTGTCAATGTGATCATTACTGTGCACTATTACAGATGGGGACATTAGGTTTGGGAGGGCATGTTGGCCTGGCACTGCCTCTCTACTATCCACCCCTGGGGACACCAAAATGGGGCACTCACCCTCAGCTCGCTCTGGCAGGGTCCCCAGACCCCAGTCTAGCAGGAAGCTGGTATGGCTGCCCACGCTGGATGAGCGGCTGCCAAAAGGGTGCAGGGGGACAGTGCCAATGACCAGCGGCAGCTCCAGGAGCAACTTGGATGTGCCCGGAATGTCCACACAGACCTGGAGGAAGAAGCCACAATGGAGGGTGCTCAGGCAGCCTTGTCACACCTTTCTGTACCAAGAAGTCCCAGCTCCAGCTTTGGCTGGACCCTATCTAGGGACAGAGCAGATGCAAGCCCCTTGCTTCCTATGATACTCTACCTTGAGGGTGTAGTCCACGTGCAGCACTCGGCAGTGCAGGATGGAAGGGCCCACAGGGGGGATCCGAAGTGCCCGGCCCTGCCACAGCACCCGCCGCCCCGGGCCCACAGGTTCGCCCGAGAGACTGGCCACCACTGTGCGCTTCTGCTTGCGGGCACCTCGTGCCATGAACGTCTGCGTCTGGACCACAACTGCCCGAGGCAGCACTGGCCGTGTGGAGCTGTTGTCAATCTCAGCGAACACAGGGATTACCTCACCTGAAACAGGAAGTGGTAGGGCCTCAGTTTCCCCACCTGCAGACCTCGCACTGGCCCTCCTCCCAATCCGTCTGCTCCTGCCTGCTACCTGGTGTGTAGCCCTTGCGATCGATCTTGGCCGAAAGGGAGACGAGGCCATGGTAACTGTACCAGGATCGGGCAACCTTCTCCCGAGCTCCTGCTTGAGGGGCCTGACAGGGTGGAGGAAAAGGACATAAATGGGTCACTTTGTGGAACTTCCAAACTATCCCCAGCTGAGGGAAGACTTGGGGCAGGACCCAGTTTCCTAGTTTCTTTTTAACAATCTAGGAAATACCTGTAAAGTGGATCTAGGAATATGACCCATCCCATTAAGGGGAAAATGAAATGAGCAAGCCAGTTCTTAGTGTGAAATTAGTGCTCAACAAGCCATTATTTATTTTTATTTTTTTGGTTAATCCTCACCCAAGGATATTTTTTCCACTGATTTTAAAAATACATTTGCTTTTTTTTTTTTTTTTTAAGATTCTTAATTTTTTTCTTTATTGGTTTTTAGAGAGAGGAAGGGAGAGGGAGAGACAGAAACATCACTGAGAGAGAACATCGATTGGCCACCCCCTGAATGCCCCCCACTGGGGATCGGGCCCACAACCTGGGCATGTGACCTGACCAGAAATCAAACTGGTGACCTCTTGGTGCATGGGTCAATGCTCAACCACTGAGCCACACCGGCCAGGCTAAAAATATGCTTTTATTGATTTTTAGAGAGAGGAAGGGAGAAGGAGACAGAGACAGAAACATCGCTAAGAGAGAACATTGGACTGGATGCCTCCTACACACCCCCTACTGGGGACTGAGTCCAAAACCTGGGCATGTGCCCTGACTGGATATCGAACCAGGGACTGCTTAGTGCATAGAATGATGCTCAACCAACTGAGCCACACCAGCTGAGTTCTACTGATTTTTGTTTTTTAGAGAGTGGAAGGGAGGGAGGGAATGAGAGAGAGAGAGAGAGAGAGAGAGAGAGAGAAACACCAATGTAAGAAAGACAAATCAATTGGTTGCCTCTCACACACACCCTGACCAGGCCAGGATCAAACCTGCAACCCAGGTAGGTGCCCTTGACTGGGAATCGAATCCTCAACCCTTCGGTCCTTGGGTGGATGCTCTAACCACTAAGAACACTGGTCAGTCAGCAAGCCGTTATTTTGCACCTGGCTGTGCCTATGTCACAGACAGGGTATATGAGGCTCAGGGAGGGTGAGATAATTCCCCTGAGCCGTAGAGCAAATTGGTGCAGCTGGATTTGCACCAGGCTACACTGACTCAACAGACATTCCCTTGCCTGCCTCCCTCCCTGCCAGGGCCCAACTGTGACCTGCACTTTATGAAACTTTGTAAAGGGGTGAGGAGTCAGGTGGAGTCACCCAGCAGCGAGGCCCCTGTGCTATCATCCCACCTCCCTAGGGGCAGCCAGCCACACACCAGCAGGGCAGGCGTGTTGATGTCCACAGGCTCGATAACAGTAAACACCTTCCTTGCCCGGCGGGCAGGAACCCAGGGCCGGTGCAGGGTGGCCTTGATGCAGTATCGGACACTGCCGTGTTTGCCCTCGAATGACGTCACCAGTGTCCTGGGGTGGAAGGAAGGGGCTTCAGGGAGTATGATACAAAGACTAGCAGTTTGGGGATCCCCAAAGACTTAGGGGGCTTGAGAGAACAGAGACACTCCTGAGGACCTCTCAGTGGAAAGTCTTTGGGCTCAGAGGTCCCCAGATACCGAGCAGTGGAGTCCCAAACCTAGGGGTACTCCCCCACAATCCAGCACCCCAGATGACTTACGGAGGCAGCTGGAAGCTGAATGGGAATTCGTGGCACCCAGCAGGCAGTGCGGTGATCTCTCCAGTGTCTGCAGGTAGGAGCAAGAGGGGGTGGCTCAGTGGCTGAGGGGTTCCCAGGGTGAGCAGCACATGCCCCACGCAGGGGTCCTGGGTCGTACCTGGCCCGATAAGTGTGGTACGGTGGCTCAGGACCTCCACACGCTCGCTGTAACTCTGCGTATACGCGGTGCTAGAGCCCGAGCTGCGTGACTCGCTCCAGTGCACGTGGGCGCGGCCCCGTGCGCGCAGCCTCAGGGAGCCCACGCGCACTGGGCCCGCCAGTTCCAGCAGGACCCGGCCGGCTACGGCCTGGCCGCCGCTGAACACGGGATCGGCGCCCGCCCTCGCGTTGTCCAGCCGCACCGTGAATACCTTCACTCTGTCGAACAGCATCGCGCCGGGGATGCAAACCCTAGGCACGCAGACCCCGGCCTGAATCCCTGACACGGCGGAGCGAGGTGCCAATGCCACAGCCTCAGGGACACGAACCCACCGGCGCTCTCAGGAACGCTCACAGAGACGACCGGAGATTCTTTCCAGCCTCCGCCACTTATATACGCAGGGCGGGTTGAGCGAGACACACGCCCCGCCCCGGAAGGGAATACGCCAATGGTGCGCGAGAGGCATGGCTCCGCCCAAGCGTGGAGCAAAATAACAAACTCCCAGACTCCCAGCTGGCTTGCCCCCCACCCTCGTGGACCCTGGGGTGAAACTGAAGCACTGGGGATCAGACCCGGTCTCTCGTGGATCCCGGGGGGAGGGGGGTGGGGGGATTAAAAGCGGAAACTGAGGCCAGGAAGCGGGGTCTGGACCTTAGGTCACTCAGAAAGATCATTCAGTCCTTTGGCTTAATTATCAACCTGCCACTACTTGTAGACGTGACTCTGGGCATGTCCAGCCGGAGCCGGAGAGATGTGGAATGATCTGGCCCCAATCTGGGCGCTGAGAGCCTAGGTCACCAGGGCCTCAGTTGCCCCCTTTATACAATGGGGGGAGAGGAGGAAGTCAGCAGAGCCTCCCTATCCCCCTGGCACCTGCTGCTCCTCTCCTCTTTCGAATCCCACTTAGCTGGGTGACCCTGAACTAGTGACAACCTCTTGAAGCCTGGGTTCCCACGTACACAGTGCTGGAAGAAAATCAGTCCCCAAAGCAGAGGGTTGTGCATGAATCACAGTGTTGCCCCTACTGGACCCCTTCCAGAGCCTTGTTCTGGGGTCACCAACGCACTGCCACTCGGTTGCGCCTAAAGCACTTTAGCCCAAAGTGTTCCTACCAACTGACATTTCTTTCCCAGCTTCCAGCCTAGCCCTAGTGCCCACTCTGGCACCTCCAGCCCTGGTCCCCTCACAGACAGAGCCGATTGCAGGGGAAGCTCGAGGCACCTCTGGGTTCAGGGCTGAGGTATGACCTTGGGGTGGGGATGACCCCTCTCTGGACCTCAGTTTCCCCAGAGCAGAACCGTACATTGTGTTTCTAACCCGGGAGTTGCCTCCTCTAGATCTGCAGGGCACTTGTGCCCTCTGGTGGCAGCAAAGTGCACTGCTGCTCAAACCCATGCCTACTTTGGCAATCCCTTTGAATCTGGCTCAGGCCCCTCAGGGATGCCCCTGAAGGCCTCCGCACCCCCAGTGGGAGATGGCCATAACCAGACACGGTGAGTCCCTGATAGGGGTCAGAGTAGGCAAAGGGAGGGGCAGAGGCTATTAATTCAGTGATCAGCATGGAGTTTACTTAAAGGAGGGGACTCTGGGGCTGAAATAAGGGGTTGGGACCTTCTGTCAGGGCCAAGTGGAGCCAAGAGAGAGAGAGGACAGGAGGCTATAAGACAGGAAGAGGTGGGGGATGAGGTGACTCTGGAGGAACAAGAACTCATAATGAGCGAGTATTTCCCTCAGTCTGTTTTTACAGATGGGTCCCCAGAGGCCCAGAGATGGGCAGGGTCACACAGCAGACTGGAAAGCCTTCACCCCTCCAGTGCCTTGAGGAAGCCACCAGTGAGTGGGACCAGGAGGACTGTAGGGTGAGACCAGCCCCTATTTCGCTTGAGCTTCAGGAGAAAGGAAGCTCATCTGGGGCGCCTTCCTGCCACACCCCATGCCTACTGCGCCTGGGTTTCCACACCTGGTCAGGGGATAGTCCCCTGATCTGGGGGCTGTTGGGACAGGCTGCAAGGCCAGGTCTGAGCTGCCTCCTGTTATGCATATTTTGCAGATGGGCTTAAGAAAGGAGATGGAAAGGTCGCCCACATCTTCCGTAGTTCTTTCTGTGGCCTCTATTCTGCTCCTGACTGGCCATGTGGCCTGAGAGTGGGGAACTGAGGTTCACCAGGGGTCACCAAGGGAAGAAACCCAGCCTAATTTGACCTCTCCCCAAATCTCCTTCCTCTCACCTGTAAATGCCACCAGAACCCCCAACCCAGGGAACAATTCAGCCCAGTAAACACTGCAGGCTAAATTGTGGGAAGGTGCACTGGCTGAGCCAGACATGCCTTCTTTGGGAATCAGGGACCCCAGGCTTGGGGATAACAAGGATCCTAAGGTCCAGAGAGGAGGGTCTCCCTGCTCCATCCAGGGATTACCCCAGACAGAGGGTCTCCACCCCACCACCACACAGCCTCTAAATGGACAGCATCTGGGCTCTGGAAGCGGGGTGCCCAGATGCTGGGAGAGGTTCCCGGGGGGAAAAGGGTTTTGGAGGGGGTAGGTGGGTGAATGTCCCAGTGGGAGGGGTAGGTGGGTGAATGTCCAGACCCTGTGGAGGAGGTCCCCACTTCTTGAGAATGGTCACCCAAACACAAGGCCTCTAAGTCAAAAGGCTCCTGGCTCTGGACAGAGGTGCTCAGACTTAAGGAGAGGGACTCGCAGACCTGGAGAGAAGGTGCCGAGGGGATTCCGGCTATGGGATGGGAGGGTGAGCGGCTCACCTCAGAACAGCAGCTGCCGCAGCTGTAGGTATGTCTCGGTGGCAGTGAAGTCTCTGGAAACCGCGTTGATGGCCCTCGAGCCAGTGTGTTGCCGCCTGGCGGTGGGTGGCCACTAGAAGCGCTCGCACCCGCATTGGTGCCACCGCCTCCAACAGCACCCGGCCACACAGCCGCTCCCCACCGCGGTATGCGCCGCCCTGCGGGGGCGCATGGTGCGGGCCTGGGTGGCCGAGGACGGCGCACCTGGCTGGGGACACCGCACGGGTCCACGGCCCCTAGGCGCTCGTCCTCGTGGTCCTGTGCCCCTGCTCTCTCTCTCACCTCTGCGAACTTGTGCATGTGATGCGGACGCGGGGCTGACTTTCTGGTCCTCTGCATCCACCCCCGTGACGTGCCGGGCCCCTGGGGAAGTGCCGCCAGCCACGCTGTTGACTTTGCCACCCTCCTCCCCCAGCGTGGGGCGGGCCCTGTATTTGTAGGGTCGGCTCTGATGAGTCACAGGCGGATGTGGCTGGCTCTGAGTAGAGGCAATCCTGGGGCTGTGCCTTGTGGTCTCATGCGTCTCCTACCTGGCACCTTGGCCCTGGGTGCTGCCCCAGCCGCCTCCTCCTCCCACCCCTGTGACCTACCGGTTGTTCCCCAAACTACTGAAGCTCAGGTCTTGCCTCTGGCCTTTGCACCGGCTGTTCTGCTGCTAGGAACACCCTTCTCCAGATCCACTTTCCCACCAGCCCACCATGCCCAAAAGTCGCCTCCTCAGAGTCCCCTGGTCATGCTCTGGCCTTATTTCTTTGTGGCTCTGATCTCTGTTTGTGATGGCTATGTATTTACTGTGGCTCCTTCATCAGACTGGGTGCACCCAAGGGCGGCCACTGTGCCCTATCCTCATTACTGTATCTTACAAATTAGGAAAACAGAGGCCCCCAGAGGGGCAGCCACTGCCAGAGGCACCCAGGGATGGCAGAGTCACAACTGAAACCCAGGTCTGATCCCCGCCTACTGGAACCTCTCCATACCCTCTCTCTTGCACCCAACCTATCTCTGTAATCCAGGTGGCCCATGGCCTTATCAGAGGCAGCCAGGGCCTGGGCTCTCTGCTGGGCCCAGATTAGCCTCCCTAGGGGCCAGGGTTCCCCCCCCCCACATCAGGACCCAGCATCTGTCAAGTGCCCCTGGCCCCTGCCTGACCTCAGCACCCTAAGCCCAAGGTCTGGAGGGACCTTTCAGATTCTACTTGTGTACAGAACCTTCCCTTCTAGCCCACCCCAAATGGGCCACTTTAAGCCCAGGATTGCACCACACCTCCCATAACTCATACCAGCTCCCCATGAAGTGTCCTCTACCAAGTGTGGGTTCTTCATGGAGGCCTGTGGGTCCCCAGGTCTGAGTCCTGGCTCACCCCTCCTCACTCTGAAGCCCCAGGCAGGTGGCTTCACTTCTCGGAGCCTGTTTCCCCATGCTACCCTTGTCAGGTTCTGGTGAAGTCACTGTAATAATTTACATCACAGTCCTTACATACAGCAAGTGCTCGATACATGTCCAAATAAGATTGAATAGCCCTCCTCACCCGTGTCAACTCCCCCACTGGACCGTGCTTCCCTGGTGCCTGGCCCCCAGTGGGTGCTCAGCAAAGCCAGCTGGTCACAGGGAAGGATGTCTGATTATCCAATGCCTCCTATGGGGGCTGGGCCAAGTCTGATTCAGGTCCTTCTATCAGTGACAGGTGGGATTGGTGATGTCCTCAGGGAGGTGTCCTGACTAAACTTGGGCTCAGGAGACTATCAGACTAGGAAGATCATGGAGATGGGTTCACCTTGATCCCCATATCCATTCCGGGGCGCCTAGGCCAGGTGTCCACCTCCCATATAGTGATTACCAGTATCCCCCAGCTATACACGACAGGCAGGGACTGGATGGGTCCTGTTTTATTAAGAACTGGCAAGGACCCCTCTCCCTGCTGTTCTGAGCCCACCAGGGGCCTGGGGAGAATTAGGGGGCCAGGGAACAGAGGAAGCCCTGGGTTTCCCAAGCTCCAACCAGGGAGAAAGCAGGCAGCAGCCACCCCTGTCCAGATTGTCTGGGTGGAATGGGCCCCTGGCCACTCAGCCCAATTCAGCTCTGGCTCCTTGTACTCCAAGAGGCGCAACTGGAAGGCTGTCCTGGATGGTGTGGAGGTGGTGGCCACACAATGGCCAAGATTGTGGGATCCGGTGGTGGGCAGGGCTGTCATCCACAGTCCGAAGGGGCCACGGGTGGCCACCGGCATGGGGAGCTCCGGGCTGCCTGGTCTGGAGGGCCAGGCTGGGGAGGCAGGGGTGGGTGGGGTGGGTGTATGGCTTGGGTGATGAGGATAGGCAGGGCCTGCAGGGAGGTGCCCAGCGCATCCAGGCGGCTTTCGAGGGCAGCCAGGCGGACCTCAAGGTCCTCATGCTGGGCGTGCAGCTCGGACATGAGGTCGTACATGGCATTCTGGGTCTGCCGGAGA